CTAGATTTATCAAACCTGCGTGTGTTTGGTTGTGCTGGTTATGTGCATCAAATGAATGATAAACTCGAACCAAGATCTAAACTATGTGTTTTCTTAGGGTATCCTGACGGGGTAAAGGGTTATAGGTTGTGGGTAAAAGGCGAACCAGGTTTCAAAATTGTGATAAGTAGAAATGTTGTTTTCAATGAAAATAATTTTCCTTGTTTGTCCTTGCCTATTCCCAATGTTGAAAATGTGGCTCCAAATGAGGTGGAGCAATTGCCTGTTATCATTCCTACTGATGTGCATGTAGAAACTAATGAACATGTTGATTCACACACTAATGAAGATGAGACTATTTCTAATGAGGTGGAGCATGATAGTGTAGAATCACATGTTGAAAATGATTTGCATGACTATCAACTTGCTAGGGATAGAAATAGAAGAACCATTAGCAAACCTGCGAGATATGTTGATGACTGTAATATGTCTGAGTTTGCTTTTCATGTGTTTGAATCCCTTGAGTGTGATGAACCTAAGACTTATCATGAAGCATTAGAATCTAAATGTTCTGAAAAATGGGTTAGTGCTATAAAATGTGAGATGGAATCCCTTCGTGTTAACCAAACGTGGAAACTTGTGCCAAAACCTGAAAACTGTTCTCTTGTGGACTGTAAGTGGTTGTTTAAAATTAAGCAAGAACCTGAAAATGTTAGGTTTAAGGCTAGACTTGTGGCTAAGGGATTTACTCAAAAGGAGGGAATAGATTATGTAGAAATTTTTTCTCCTATTTTCAAGTTCACCACAATTAGAATCATGTTGTCTTTAGTTGCTCAGTATAATTGGGAATTAAAACAAATGGATGTGACTACTGCTTTCTTACATGGTGATCTTGATAAAAATATTTATATGCACCAACCTGAAGGATTTGTTGATCCTAAGTTGCCTAATCATGTGTGTTTGTTAAAAAAGGCTTTGTATGGTTTAAAACAATCACCTAGGCAATGGAACATTAAATTTGATAATTGCATGAAGAACTTTGGTTTTAAGAGAAGTAATGCTGATCACTGCTTGTACTTCAAGAACACTTTCTCTGTTCCTGTTTTTCTTCTCCTTTATGTGGATGATATGCTAATCATTAGTCCTAACTTAAAGTCTATTGAGCATGTTCAAAATTATCTTTGCAAAAATTTTGACATGAAAGATTTAGGAGATGCTAGAAAAATTCTTGGCATGAATATTGTTAGGGACAGAAAGAAATCTACTCTTGTTTTAAATCAAAATTCCTACATTGATAAGATTTTGAGTAAATTTGCTATGTCTGATGCTAAACCTGTGGATGTTCCTTTAACTGCTCACTTTGTGTTGAGTAAGGATATGTGCCCTAAAACTAAAGCTGAAATTAATGAAATGAAAAGTGTGCCTTATTCGAATGCTATTGGTTCTGTGATGTATCTCATGATTAGCACTAGGCCTGATATTGCTTATGCTGTTAGTTGTTTGAGTAGATACATGTCTAATCCTGGTATGGCTCATTTGAATGCTCTAAAATGGCTTTTGAGATACTTAAAATCTACTAGGAATGTTGGTTTAACTTTTTCAAGAAGTGATAAAAGTGTTAGATTAATTGGCTATGTGGATTCTAACTATGCAAACGATAGGGATAATAGAAAATCCACTACTTCCTATGTGTTCACTTTGTGTGGTTCTTGCATCAGTTGGAAATCTCAACTTCAACATATTGTTACTTTATCTACTACTGAGGCTGAGTATGTTGCTGCCACAGATGCGTTTAAAGAAGCCATTTGGCTTAAAGGTCTTTTATCTGAAATATGCTTGCTCGATAAGAATGTGGTTGTTTTTTCTGATAGTCAATCTGCCATTCAACTATGCAAAAATCCTGTTTTTCATGATAGAACAAAACATATTGATGTTAGGTTTCATTTTATTAGAGACATAGTTGAAAAGGGAATTGTCATGCTGGAGAAAATTCCTACAGAATCTAATCCAGCTGACATGGGTACTAAGTGTTTACCTGTTGAAAAATTTACCTTATGTCAAAAGATTTTAAACCTATCTCTGTGATTGTGTGCTGATCTTTTGTTCTTTTTTTTTTCTTTTTTTTTTAGTCTTTGTGACTTTTGCTTTTCTTTTGTTTTTTGAACTCGATGACCCAATGGTAGAGTTCGACTCTTCGTGAGTTATTTTTTGGCATGCTTTGTGATGTTGCCTAGTCTTCGTGACTTGAGAGTACTTAGTGAACTCTCCACCACTACGTGTGTTGCCATTTGTTGATTACACATTTAGTGGTTATTAGGCTATGATGAGTCCCGCGGTTCTTTGTCGAACTATGTGCACTACTTTGGGCCAAAGGTGGAGATTGTTAATTTATTTGGGGTTGGCCCAAACATATTAATAATATTTGACACCCAACCCAGCAGCCCATTTCTCTTAGCCCATCTCTTTATTCCTAACCTAATTAAGCTTACCTTAATTAGCTCCTAAATCTCTACTATAAATTAAGGCTTCCCCTTTGTGTTTCTATACCGTGCAAAACTCCTTTCTCTCTTTGTGAGGCTTCCGTGTGGGTTTATTTCTTCCTTTGTGAGTTGATCTCAGTTCTTCTCCGTTTCTTTGTGAGTGGAGTGTGGCGAGGTTGGGTTGGGGTGTTGCTCCTTTTGGTACCCTTGTAGTGCACAACTACGGACCGAATTTTACGGGTGACCTGAGCCTAATCGGAATAAATAAATACACATAACACCTTCCTCCATAACCATTGGTCTCCTCACCTCACCTCTTTATCACCTCCATGCGTATGACATCTCCACCAATCTTATCCACCAACTCCTCCTCTTCTTCTTCTTCCTCTTCTTTCTTCATCTCAACTCGCCAATTTCCTCCCTTTTTAGATCTGTTTGAAATTTTCTCTTGTCATCTTCCTCTCTTTTTTAGATCTATTTGAAAATTTGCTCGCCACCTTCTTCCCTTTTTCTATATCTATGAAACTTTTTTTTAAAATTTATTTGAAAATTTTAGAAATTGCAGGGGCCGGAGGCGAGGGAGCAGTCAGAGGTAGCCGCAGAGCAGCATGGCGGCTGTTAGAAGTCGCCGCGGAGCGCGAGGCAGCAGGATTCGTCTCAGAATTTTTAGATCCGTTCTACGATTCCAAAGCTTTAGATGTGGATCAGGTTCGCCGGTCGCCGTCCCCGCCGGCGAATCCGTCCCGCGTCGCTTCCGGAGCGGGATGCGGCTCCAAACCGCCGAACCCGTGCAACCTAGCCAGGGGATGCTTTTGGTCCCCGGCGTGAAAAAAAATAGACGAAGGAAAAGAGCTGATGAACAAAAGAAGAGGGGTGGAGGGTATTTTAGTAAAGTCAATGACATTTACACTTTTTCTTAATCTTCGTGCCCGATCAAACCCTGAACGTTAAAAATGGACGGAGGGAGTGTGTGTGTGTGTCTATATATATATATATATATATATATATATATATATATATATATATATATATATATATACACACACACACACACACACACACACACACATGTTGTGGCTTGAATTAAAAAAACTAATATACGAGTAAATAAAATAATATTTCCTATTTTTATAAATAAAGAATTAATTTATAATTTAACTTAATTTACTTCAATTGTGTCATTAAGTAAAAATAATATTTACTTATTTAAAAGAGCTTATAAATAAATAGTGATTTGAAATTTCTTAACCATTTTTCCTAGTATTTAAAAATATATATAATATTTTGTAACATGCATTCCATATCAATTATCAATGAGTTTTGGATTTTAGTTTTAAAAACTATATATATATTTTAAGCATTTGTTAAAAACATTTTAAATAGAGATTATTTAAAACAAATCGAAGGCTGTTACCACTTAGCATCTTAGCAGAGATGGTTTGTGTCTCCTTCTCCCATGCAGTCCCGTGTTCGAATCCCCAGTGGTGTTTTATGAAAAAAAATCTTTAGGGCAGAACCAAAAACCAGTTCTGGGGTGAGATCGGCCGGTTTTCTCTGGTTTCTACCGGTTTTCAGTGCTTCACTACGGATTGCGGTCTGATTACCTGGACCGGACCGGTTAGGTATCCGTTCCGAATCGGCCGGTCCGGTCCGGTTTTTAAAACTATGGATACATTTTTTACTTGTCGAATGCGTGGATTTAACCTGACTAAGAACCTCCCACTGAGTTGTTCTTCACTTATTGCTCTCTCTGGCAGATACACAACTATGTTCTGTAGTAGTTCTATAAATTCCCTCACAGTGGATTCACCTTGTGTTCTTGATGAGAATACGATTTCCGCACGATCACGATCAGCTGGCGAAAAAATTGATAAGCAATAAATTCTTCAACAAAGATTGGCCATGTTGGTTGGCCTTCAATCTTTTTCCTAGTTCATTGCCACCATATACGAATGTGTCCGGCTAATAACTCTTCAGCAACACGACATTGAAATCTCTTAAGCATCACCAAGTCATGAAAAACTTTGATGATCTGAGTTGCTTCAGCCAGGCATGTGCTCTAGTTGCATCGAGATTTCCATCATAGACATGACATCCGTTGTTGATAACATCAACTAAAATCTTTATGTAGTCAGAGTTCGATGGGTCGATGTTACCTAAAAGTAAAGGAACTTCTCAAGTTGTTGAAGCTGGTGTAGGCGTTATTAGTGGAGGGTTTGGACTCCGTGTTTCCTTCACAGTTGGTATTCCATATGTTGTCGTGATCTGAGGTTGCATGGGCGTCATTGATGGTAAGCTGTTCTGTGTCATTTGTATTGGAACTCGTACATAAGCATGCTCCCTTGGGGGTTGGAGTATGTCCTCTCTTTTGTTTGGATACTAGCGTCCCGTGGAGGCGTGGACTCGACAGAAGTCTCGGCTCTTCTTCTCAATGAAGCCATATTCCGTTCTGAGTTTATATGTAAGCTTCTCTCTATTTTTCTTTCTTTCCCTTTTTGGTTGTGTATGCTTCTGGCAATCCTCATCTTGAATTTATAGTTGGGGTTGAGATATACAGCATTATTATCGTAGATGTATAGCCTTTGGCCTATAGGATCGTCTTTAAATCTTTGTCGTTGTTTACCCATGAATTGAATATGACGTAAAACCCCCAATAGTATTGCACCCGTGGTTTGACTACTACATGAAGCATACAATAATCCTTTGCCCGTGATTTGAAAAGGGTGGATATGCGGTGGCGGCCAATCTTGCAAATCAAACTCAATGTCATAGTCACATAACTATTTATACCATAGTCTTCATATTATCTACGTCTAATCAACGTTATGTATGCAATTTTACTCATTACCTATTGTAGATTTGTTATCCTATTCATTCCTCGTGGTCGATATGAATTCTAATAAGAGGATTCCTCTTGTTTCTTTCTTGATCTTGGAGTAGTAGATTTGTCGTGACTTCATTATATTGAGATATCTGCATTTTCTGTTAGTAGAATCACTTCACATGCTTCTGACGTACTTCTTGATACCTTTCCTTCCATATGGTTTTCTAACGTTTGTATGTAGATTCACTCCTATAATGCGTTTCAAATTCGATACATATGTCTTATTCGATATGGTTTGTGAGGCTCTATTCGTGTTCTTTTAAAAACGACGAATTCACTTTTTGGGGAAAATTCACATTGATTTAACAAAGTCAAAATTGATTTAACTGGCCTTTATTCAAAAGAGTTCTTTAATTTAATTCATATTATTTATTCTCATGATTATCATTTCAAAGTTCACATCATAAACACATTGTTCATTTATTCTTAATTTGGGTCTCTACTTAGGTTCCCATTCAAGATAACACAATAGTCAGCATATGGGATTTATCTCTATGAGATTTATCCAGATTATGATATTGGATATCAGAACATATTTTATTTTGGCTCAAAGCCTAACAACAATTTACTTTAATCAAACAATTTGTTTATTTGAATAATAATTTAATGTAACTTTTAGGGTATATTTTGGGGCGTTACATGAACCCTCGCGGGAGCATGTATCAGGGTAAGCGAATGGCATATAGCCTCGCGCTTGCTGCATCATGGCCATCACTTGGTGGTAGCCCTGTAGCTCCTATGCATTGGCTGTGAATTCAGCCAAACTTAACGGGATCAACATAGGCGGCGTCACCCCCCGACATGGGTAGTGAGCCTGGAAACATCAAGGATATAGTTTCCGAGCATCGAAGTGGGAGTTGACATGATTGGAATCATTCCCATGGATCCCACAGGGATGACCGGAAAATAAGTTGCCCTACGCTTATCATTGTTACCGGAGTGGCAGGAGTGTTGAGTTCCGACACGATCAGGCAGAAACGATGGGGTGAGTGCTAAAAGACATGATTGTGGATACTTCGCAAGGTTAGAAAAATTGACCTGTCAACTTTTTCGAAAGACAGGTTCCACGATCGGCGCCAAATGATGGTGTAAATTTGACTGGGTATGACCTAGTGAAACGGACTTTTCTAGGTAAGCCAAACACTCAAGAAAGTAAGAACACGAGAGTGACCAAGACGAGGAAAGAATTCCTGTTTTCGAACTAATATTTATTGCTATGTCTCAAGAGTGTACAAGTATGTGTATGAATGATAGAATGTTCCTCCTCGTCCTCTTACAATCTATTTATATAGGGTGGAGGAGGTTAATTAAGGTAATAAGCCCCTACTCAGGTGCTGGCCTAGCGCCAATCAACTTAAGTATAAGGAAACATGTCAAATAATCCTCTAACCCGCTGCTCATTGACTTACTCATAAATGGGTGCCAATCTCGCCACCAATCAAGTCGTCCAGCGATGGAACGCGATTATTGCTCCGCCTTTAAGTCTTAGAAAGGATGAGCTAGGACAATAGGATTGCTCCGTACTCATCATCGCCTAGGTGTGCCCATCATCCCAACCCTCCATATCGTACCAAGCCCATCCGAGGGGTTATCTCCTGGATCAACTCTCGTTATGTCCATGCAAATATATGACTAGTCACTTATGGAGAAAGATTTGACCAATCATTTTTCCCGACTTTTTGTGCCCACAAACACTACTCAAGTTATGACTGGTCACTTTCTGACCTGTCACTTTTTGGAGATTCTGGCCAAGTATTAGTTATACCCATCATTCACCACAGGTAAATACTTTTTTCAGTCATTTTTGAAAGAAATTGGAAGGAGTTAAAAAAAATTGGAAATTAATTTTTCCAACCCAAATAAATAGGTCCTTAGGATCGCAATACCGCAACTTTGGTGTTTAGTCAATTGTTAAACTATTTTTCTTAGGAATGTTAGAGCTTATTTATGTTATTTCAAATTTTTCTAATATTCAATTTTAAAATTCCAACTCAAAAAAAGAAGCAATCACTTAATGAGTAGAGGTACGGCTGTACCTGTACTGGTAATCTTTTTAGGAAAAATTATCCAAAATAATCCCAATTTAACCTGGTCTTTCAAAAATAATCTCAACTTTCAATATGGTGCATAATA